AGATAGATAGATAGATAGATAGATAGATAGATAGATAGATAGATAGATAGATAGATAGATAGATAGATAGATAATCTTCTCAGTTTTAGTGATGTTTCAGAGAACAGCATACTCACTTATGACAACCATTAAGTCAGAGACAGAAATGTGCTTCAATTAAGTTTATTTATTGAACATACATTCACCTCAGTTACTGAAATAAATGGCTTATGATCTGAACATTCAGAGAATAATGTGCAAAACACAGACAGACTCAACAGGAAAGCAAAGTGTCTTTGGCAAGATTGCCCTGATCTCCTAACACATCTGTACTGTTAGTCAAACGTACCCTTCACACAACCTCAGATTAAGTCTCAAAAGCAGGTAAATCTTTGCTCAACAGAAAAAAAAAACTTCAGTAATATATCCATAAAGAAGTATAGATCTGTTTGTATTAAGGCTAATGATTTTTTTTTAAATATTAAAGCAATTATTCAGTTAACATAAATATGGTAGACAATTTTCAAATACAAAGTAGTTTTTAAATTTTTTAATAGATTAATGAATTTAAATGGATCAGCTGATATGAAAATAACTCTTCCAACTACATGTACCATAAATGTACAATATGTATGTTTAGTTCATAAAAAGACTAAGATGTAAAGCACTTTAGTGTTCAGAGTATGATGCATTAAATCTAAGTGAATACAAAAAGTTCACATTGCACTTTAACCTCTGCTGAAAAACCCAGGGGAAATCTTGTTTGATGATTTTAGGGTGTAACAAAAGAAATTTAAAGATAACTTGTTTAAACATTTGTGCTTTTGCAAGTGTTTGCATTATTGTGCATTTTATTTAATTTTTTTGCAGATGCACTGAGAGTAGTTTTAGAAAATCAAGTTGCCAAAAACTTGACGCCTCAGTGACGCAATGCAGGAAAAAGTAGATCAAAGTTTAAAACAACTCAGTCCTTTACCCTCTTAGGGTACCTTTTTTTAAATTAGGGGGCTTAATTTTTTTCCAAGTTCAAGGCAATTTTGAGCATTTAAATGCATAATATTTAAATTACAAAAACAGACAAATTGCTTGTTAATTTGACTTTTATTAACATTTTTTGTGGGAAATCCTGTATAATCAATACTCATTTGCACATTTGCTAAAATGGCTGAAATCAGAAATCACTGTGAATAAGGAGTCAATAAAATAAAATTAGCCATGTTTTTAAAAATACCCACTCAGAAATACAAACTTTCCTCATAATATATTCTATGTCAGTCAGAAGAAAAAAAAATAGGAATTAAAAACTCTCAAAGAAAAGTCACTTCGCTATTTTGAGTAAAATAAATTCAGACTTTGTAGCTGCGATGTCCTCTGACGACCATCAGAGAGTCGGAGTCGATGAAACTCAGAAAAATAAAGTAAAACATCTGTGTATTTTGGATTCTAATCAAAGATATGTTGTTACTACTGATCAACACAGAGATAAACACATTGCTTAAAGCAGAGGTGTGTGAGATTTTGTCATCTTCACTTTGAATTGTGTTCAACTAGTTTTACTCCTAACTTAAACAAAATAACGAGGTTTAAACCTAATTTATTCATCTTTAAAATCGACAAAACACCAGGTGAAATCAGCATCAAGTCTATTTTGTTTTAAATAAATATGCCGTGGAGACTCTTCATCTCAGCACGTAGCTGCAGCAGCTCTCACAACAAACCTGTTTCAACTGCAACTGATTTAAAGTGGTTGGAACATCAGTGCTAAATTTACCAGATCAAGTCATGAAAAAGTTTTTTCCCCCCCATTTAATCTCATGATCTCTCGTTACACCCGTACTATAAATATATTCTATATTGGAGCTGGTGACGATGGGTTGAAGTGACGAACACAAACCTTCAAGGTCTGATGTCACATTTCAGTTACAATCTCTCAGAAGCTTAACATTCTTGAGTTTGGTACCAGTTTAACATCTTAGCTTGACTAAAGCTAATCATTGTTTATCAAAAATCTGCATTTTCTTTTTGGTAGRTACATTCAACAACCATTCAGCAAATTCAGATTAAAAATGAGTAAATACCAAGTGAATCCACTGCATTCTCTACAAACAACTCAGATGTAACAACAAACAAAAGCTTAATCACATACTGCAATTTAGAACAAAACCATGGGAAAAAACTAGATTTCTGTTTGCGTCTGATTTTCTCTTCTTTTTTTTTTTTAAAGAGAAAAATGCTTGTGTGCAAATTAGGAAGTGTGGTCTGATTTTATTTTGCGTACAGGGCTGACAGAGCAACAAAAAACAGAAGGCAGAACGGTTTGTGATTGCTGAAAAAACATGATTCTAACAGGACATCCCAGGTCTGGTTCTGACGCCCTTCAGACAGTTGAAACTTGTAGGAACAAACACTGGTAACTCCACACTGCACACGTCCAAAACGTTCCTGCTGAGCGGGTTTTTTTTTCTACTTTGTAGTTCACTGCAAGCAGAGAACAGATTTCACCTGCTGAGCAGAGCTGCGCTCATCAGCTTCACTCCTGATCATCCTGACCGGGTCAATGGATTGTTTTGTTTGAAAGAAACAACCGAAGAACTGCGAGTGTGTGAAGCACGAGGGGTTTAGCTTGCCATACGGAGCTTGTAGTGCCCATAAAGAACCTAAAACACAGGTTAAGGCCACTGGTCCAGTGTAGGGAGGAGTGGGCTTTCTCAACCTTTGGATTGGAGACGTTTCGATATTTTTGCTATGATCCCACTTGCAGCTCCCACATCTGGATGATCTAATGTGCACATTTATAAAACACTCTGAAAGCATTTAAAACGCTGTGGGCTACAGAAGCAGCCATGTTCTCTTCTGTCTGTGAACGAGGTGGGTTATCGGTGTCTCAGCCCTGCGGCTCGGTGATGTGGGCTGCTCCGTCCTGCTCACTGATGGTGTGGAGGATAAGGCAAACGGGCGGGTTGAGCGAGCCGCTGCTCTGAGGAGCCTGCGGAGTTCCAGTTGGCTCACGCTCAGCCCTTCCCTCCTCCTCCACACTAAAGGAGGCCTGATGACCACAACTGTCACAGAAGTCACCTGCCTCCTCTTCCTCCTGATCGTCATCGTCCACGTTGCGCCCCAGCAGGCTCTCTAGTTCCTTGATGTCCTGGTCTGTCCCTCCAGCTCCACTACAACTGTTGCTTCCCTGTGTGCCGCACACACATACCTCAATCCCAGAATCCCCTGTGAAACGCCGCCTCCTTCCATTGGGGAGGCGCTCTTTATCTTCATTACAACTCTCCAAAGAGCTAAAAACCTTCAGCAAAGGGTCCTTACAGGAGTGGTCCACACTTCCACTTTTTATGTCCTGACTGGTGAGCTCCTCCACACTAAGTCCGTCCGGCAGCAGGATCCTGCCTGAGTCTTGTGCTGTCTGGGTGGGTTTATTGTCAAAAGTAGGGGGCTGTGGCTCCTCTGTGCTGGGTCTGCAGCACAGCCCCTCAGGGACCGGAGGGACAGAAGAGGACTGGATGACCAGACGATGTCCTTCCTGCTGCTCGGGAGCCACGGGAACAGAAGCCACTGAAGATGGGTTTGAGTTTAAGGCAGTGTAGGGAGGGGGAGGAGTCGGGGGCCGGTTGACCACCTCTTCATAGTCAGGGAGGAGGTAGTTTGGCAGAAACCCTGAAGAGAAACAGATGGAAAACAAGATTAGAGGGAAACGGTATAAAAATTTTTTTTTCAAAATATTTCTTACAAAAAGAACTTCACTGTGACTGTGTCAAGAAACAGAAAAGAAAAGTTAATTTATTTGCCATTTCTGTGCTGCAGGCTGCTCTGGAACTCTGTGAGACACTTTTGCATCATTGGCAATTTACCAAGACAGCAATGCTGACTATTTCCTGAAAACTGGGGCATGCAAACAAGGAAGGTCCTGACATTGTATGAAACCCTGGATTACATTAGAGCCACACACCACGGATTCAGGACAAAAAAATAAAAAAATAAATCTGAATCTATGCTCAGGGGAGAATAGCTACAGCAATCTTTTTTCTTTCCAGATATTTATAAAAGTCTTTGAACAGTCTGACGTTGTGTCATGAAAACACGACATCACTGGGAACTTTTCATTTATAGAAAAAAAAAAGAATCCAAAATCTGTATTTACAATCGTTGAAAAATGTTTGCTTGTGTTTCATTTTTGCAAATTATTTCATTGACTTGATTCTTCTGGACTCTTTTACCTAAACATGATTAAACACAACAATAATTAAAGATGACAAAAGTTTGCTCAGATAAAAACCAACAACACAGAGCAGCAGTTTAAATGTACAAGCCACCAAGCAAAAGGACACATTTTTCCACTAAGTTAAATTTTCATCAAAAATCTGCAGATTTACTAACTGAGTCCTTCACACTTAGAACCAGAAACTTATGTTTGCTGCTGAACTTGTTTGCTGCTGAGAAAAACTGGTTAAATTAGTTGAATGAGAGGAAACACAGATACAGTGGGGAAAATAAGTATTTAGTCAGTCACCAATTGTGCAAGTTCTCCCACTTAAAAAGATGAGAGAGGCCTGTAATTGACATCATAGGTAGACCTCAACTATGAGAGACAAAATGTGAAAAAAAAATTGAGAAAATCATTTTGTCTGACTTTTAAAGAATTTTTTTTGCAAATAATGGTGGAAAATAAGTATTTGGTCAATAACAAAAGTTCATCTCAATACTTTGTTGTATATCCTTTGTTGGCAATGACAGAGGTCAAACGTTTTCTGTAAGTCTTCACAAGGTTGGCACACACTGTTGCTGGTATGTTGGCCCATTCCTCCATGCAGATCTCCTCTAGAGAAGTGATGTTTTGGGGCTGTCGGCGGGCAACATGGACTTTCAACTCCCTCCAAAKGTTTTCGATGGGGTTGAGATCGGGAGACTGGCTAGGCCACTCCAGGACTTTGAAATGTTTCTTTCGAAGCCACTCCTTTGTTGCCCTGGCAGTGTGCTTGGGATCATTGTCATGCTGAAAGACCCAGCCACGTTTCATCTTCATTGCCCTTGCTGATGGAAGGAGGTTTGCACCCAAAATCTCACAATAAATGGCCCCATTCATTCTTTCATGTACACGGACCAGTCGTCCTGGTCCCTTTGCAGAGAGACAGCCCCAAAGCATGATGTTGCCACCCCCATGCTTCACAGTTGGTATGGTGTTCTTTGGATGCAACTCCGCATTCACTTTCCTCCAAACACGACGAGTTGTGTTTTTACCAAATAGTTCTACTTTGGTTTCATCTGACCATATGACATTCTCCCAATACTCTTCTGGAACATCCAAATGCTCTCTAGCAAACTTCAGACGTGCCTGGATATGGACTGGCTTAAGCAGGGGGACACGTCTGGCACTGCAAGATCTGAGTCCCTGGCATCGTAGTGTGTTGCTGATGGTAGCCTTTGTAACATTGGCCCCAGCTTTCTGCAGGTCATTCACTAGATCCCCCCTTGTGGTTCTGGGATTTTTCCTCACCGYTCTTGTGATCATTTTGACCCCACGGGCTGAGATCTTGCGTGGAGCTCCAGATCAAGGGAGATTAGTAGTGGTCTTGTATGTCTTCCATTTTCTGATTATCGCTCCCACAGTAGATTTCTTCACACCAAGCTGCTTGCCTATTGCAGATTCAGTCTTCCCAGCCTGGTGCAGGTCTACAATTCGGTTTCTGGTGTCCTCCGACAGCTCTTTCGTCTTCACCATAGTGGAGTTTGGAGTGTGACTGTTTGAGGTTGTGGGCAGGTGTCTTTTATACTGTTAATGACTTCAAACAGGTGCCATTAATACAGGTAATGAGTGGGGGAAAGAGGAGCCTCTTAAAAAAGAAGTTACAGGTCTGTGACAGCCAGAAATCTTGCTTGTTTGTAGGTGACCAAATACTTATTTTCCACCATTATTTACAAAAAAATTCTTTAAAAGTCAGACAAAATGATTTTCTCAAATTTTTTTTCACATTTTGTCTCTCATAGTTGAGGTCTACCTATGATGTCAATTACAGGCCTCTCTCATCTTTTTAAGTGGGAGATCTTGCACAATTGGTGACTGACTAAATACTTATTTTCCCCACTGTAAATGTCCTATAAGAACTGGCTTTAGTAGTTACTCTTACTTTTAATATACTTTACGCATTAACAAAAAAACCTATTATGGTGATATGCTGTATAGGTCCCACATTTAAAGTGTTTATATGCATGGAAGGTCTTACTGAAGTAAAAGGGCACAGATGGAAAGTTGTGTGCTTCACGGTAAGCTATGAGGTTGATCTCGTGTTGCCGTTGTTGCTGCTGCAGCCGGTGTTTGGTGCGGCGGTGGTGACAAATGCAGCAGCAGCACAAAATAAAGATGAGAGCCCACACGAGCCAGAACCCTACAGAAAAAAAAAACAAAAAAAAAAACACCAAAGTTACACTCACAATCTAACTCGAAAAAGTCAACCTCGCTGCTTTAACTCATTTTTTCTAAACATAAACCATCAAATCTAGAAGTGAGACAAAGCAACCAGCGGCTCCGCACTCAGAAAATGATAATGAGCTGATGGCATCAGTGAGCGACTGCAGGATCAATCAACAAACAGATTTATTACTGAGGGAATATTAAAGATGACAYGAAACAGCAACTTTGTAGTTAGTTTAAAAAGTATTAAACCACAGGATCAATATAAGTCTTCTCAGTTTGTTTTGTTTGATACAAGGCAGACACCTGTCACACAGATCTCAGCCCAGCTAAGATCTGCTCCACGCCTCTTTTGGTTCGTTTCTGAACGTGTACATGTGAGTGGGACATGGCTGGATTCTTCTGTGGTTTTATGAATGACCCGATGGGGATTTATTCCTGCTGTGTGTGGCAATTTTGAGGAATTGTCTTGTAAAAGAGGCTGTAATGCGATAAAGAGCATCACAGTTAAAGGCTGAATTGTATCAGGGATTAGGAGCTTCGTCACATTGTGATCAGGGGTTGATGAAGTGTATTGTGATTGAGGATTGAAGTGCACCACATTTGTTTTTGTCGCTCGTGTTTCTTTAATGAATCATGTCACTGGTAGTGTATCCAYGTGTATTGAATTGGCCAGAGTACAAGCGTTTGACTACAAGTTCTTTAGAGCTCAGAACAAAATTATTAAATAAATCTGAGCTTACCTGTAACCTAATCTTTTCAAATTACACTAAACGAGTTTGAGGGATTACTTTTGATTAAATGATGGKTTAGGGTTAGTATTGTATAGTATATAGTAAGTATTTGAATGTTTGCTTATACAGAAAGGGAAGGTGAGACAATGGAAAGAACTATAGAGGATAAAACACAAAAGCTGGAAACTTACACCAGAGTTCATAATAATAACTGCAGCACTGGGACTCTCCACAGCAGTGGCCGTACTCGCAGAAGTAGCTCTGGTTGTTGACGCCTTCACAGCGGCGTAAGCTCTGCAGGGTAAATGAAAACATAAAAGAAACCTTGTCATTTTAAAAGTAAATTATTTTTGTTACTTTTCAAATRGTTTGAAAATGACTTCATCCAGAGGTAAACTGTTACAGTGAGCAGGATCAAATATGAAAACATATCCTCRGAGCTGGTAACATTTTTAAGCACATGAAGCACACCGCTCTGCCAGACAAAAAGGTTTTATCAGTTGTTTGAGTCATCTATCAGCTTTCTTTTATTCTAAGTGTTCACATTTTATGCTGGTTTAACCTTTTGCTTTTCARATGTCATATTTAGAGCTATAAAACTAATTAATGGATCCTGTCTAAAGTCCTTCCAGACATTCCTGAAATAGCACATTCAGAACAATGGGATGGATGCAGGGTCACACTGACCTGGACCAAAGGAAGCTAATCTGTGGATCCTTGAGTCCGACTGAACCCCTGAACCAAATACCCAGAAATTCCTTCAAGGCACTCAAGATATATCACTTTCAAGGACAGGAACAAAAAACAAAGAATGGATAAACAACATGAAACAGAACTGTAGCCTGCTGAAGTCCTGATCCTTGACAGTGAACGTCTTTTCTGTAAGTTAATAAAAACACTAATAACAGTTCCTGTTGAGCCAAAACCCACAGAAGCTGTTAAAATTAATGACCTTTATTGTTTACAGCTACACGTTCTTTCATGACTTGTTACACATTCCTGAATGGATTTTAAGAACTATGGTAGCAGAGCATGGCCAGTGTCTATGTGACAGGCTGCAAACCTTGCACATACAAACTAAAAGTCTATATGAAGTAATGAGCACCTGTTTTAACTCAGCCAAGACAGGCAAATTCACGCAAGAACAGTTGCATAAATTCAAACAAAAAAAACTAAAGGAATAAAAAAAGCTTTGAAGTCACTTCTGCAAGAAATCATTTCATTTTAAAGTCATTTCACTATGAATAACGCAAACTAGCAGCTTGGCCAAAAGTTAACCAAACACATGAAGTATGGTAGCTGATATTCATCTAACCTGTGGAAAGGTTGACTTAAAAAAGAAAGTTTGATAATAATCAAATAGTGTTTAAAAGAGAACCTAGTGCCACGGTCACAAACCACATGAGACAAGCGAACGGTCTCACCTTAAAAGATTGTTTAGACTTTGTCAAATGCTTTATATCAAATMTTTCTCTCTATAGATTACCATTTCAAGTCCTCGACTGAGAAGCATGGTGATCCAGGATCCAGACACGTCCACTCTACCTCATGAGACATCATCCCACTGTGAAAAAGTTAAAAACATCTCCAACATACTTTCACTCCCTCTGCCCCTCTCTCCTCTCGTCTCTGGCACACACGCTCCGCTCCAGCCCAAACAAGTATTGCTTTACAGAAATTTCCAAGCAGTGGCAAAGTGTAAGGTCCTAGCTCCGCCGCTGCATGATAACAAGGTGTTGAGAGGAGAGCGTTGAGAGTAAAGCAAGGACAGAACAGCCAAAAAAAGTCAGACGCAGGAATGATTCATTTCACAAGATCAGCACAAACCAAAGTGCTAACAATAAATTGTAGCCAGAACTTTAAAACCACAGTGGATTATTAGCTCTTTCCGTTTTATCAACATGGCATTCCATGAAAAAAAAAAAAACCCTGCGCATGAAGAGGTTTAAAAATCACATGATGTTCTGTTCCTAAATGTTGCAATAACTTCAGCAGCTCTGACTCCCTAGATATTGTCTAATATGTGGTGTCTGCATTCCAGACTCYGCTCGTTCTGCGGTACAACACAGATAACATTACATTTGTGTGGCTATTAAGCCTGAGCTGAACAGAACAACATTTAAATAAGARTCGTACGGAAAAAGGACTCATGCATTTAAATAAAATAAATCTTCTTTGCCTTTAAGGGATGATAAAAAGTTAGACATCTATCTTGACGGAACAGGACTGAGAAAATAATGTGCACAGACTAGATTCCCYTGACTCTCATCCAAGCACAAGGGAATGAAACGATCAGCTTCTCTCACGACAAATTTAAGGATTAAAGCAGATTGGGTTACCATCTCTCAAATTAGCTGTGTATTAGAAAACGATTAACTCTTATGAAAAGCTGCTGAGATGATTAGGGTTTTAAAAAGGTTCTTGATGGCAATCAGATACTTCACCTTGATGCAAGTGGCTGCAGGTTTTGGTTACATCTCATCTGACTCACTAAAGAGTTCTGCAGGACTTTTAGCCAGTCAGTCAGGCCAACTGTTTTGTTTGACTATTTGTCAAGGTCATTCAGAACAAATGACAATCGTGCATTTGTAGCACTCATTAATGCTGAGAAATTACATTCCAGGAGACATTTTAGAAAATTATTCAGTTGTTTGCCTCACCCCATCCCCCACTCAAATTCTCCACCTCTGTCTTTTACTGCTTATTTGTAGTCAGGTTGTGGAGCAACAGGTCCTGGAGAGAAATCCAAAACTCCCCTTCCCTATTGACACTGTCCGGCTCCTCCTGGGGGATCCCCAGCTTTCTAAACCAGAGAGGATATATAATTGCTTTGGTGAGTTCTGGGTCTGCTCCAGGCCTTGTCCCYRTTGGACATGCCWAGAAAACCTCAAAACTGAGGTGTCCTTAATCAGATGCTTGAACCACCTCAACTTACTTGACATGGAGAAGCAGCATTTATACTCCGAGCTCCCCCTAGATGATGGAACTCCTCACCTGATCTCTAAATCTGAGCCTGGCCATCCTACAGAACAAGCTCATTTTAGCTGTTTGTATCCAGGTCTTCTTTCAGTCGTGACCCACACTTCATGACTACAGGTGAGGGTTGGATTGTAGACTGACCAGTACATCAAGAGCTTTGCCTTTCAACTAAACTCTTTCTTCACCATGACTGACTGAAGTAATGCCCTCATTATCAAAATACCAAAGATCAGCCGATCCACCTCCAGCTTCATCCTACCATAACTCAAGATGCCCAGATACTTGAGCTTCTCCTCCAGAGGCAAAGACTCTCCCAGAGGGGGCATTCCACCCATTTCCAGTTGGATATGGGTGAATGTTTGAACAACTAATGCATCAGGAAACCTTGATTGGAAAAGGAAAGCGGAGGCACACCCCTGGAACCAGGCCTGAAGTGGGGAGTAAATGGTCGAGTGCCTTGTGGGTCCTTTCCTTTGTTCCATCAAGTAAAATACTGTACCAACATAGTAACGATGTGTTAGTTCTTAAGTTTAATAATGTTATAAGCTATATTTAATGTGTAGTATTTATACAACAATGGGTAACTTGTATTCTGTTTATTTCAAACTTTAAGTGTATTWGCTTCTTTTCTGGATTAGTTTTTATTTTGTGGCAAATGCGCAAAAATGGCTCTTTGCAAACAACTTGTCYAGAAATAAAAAATCCCAGAGTTTATACATTTACTTATGTTTCACTTTATTGTATGATAACMATTTGGAAATCATTGCATTTGTCTTAAAGCACTTTTACACCACATGCCAATTTTTAATTCAGAATTACATTTTACCTCAAATTTAAAGATGTAACTTATTACAACTTTCCATGCAAACTAATTAAGGATAAAATAATCTGGTAATTACTCACTCACTCCAATGAATTAAACAAATAAGGATGTCAATGTAGAGAGACTGATAATAGGCTAACTTTATGTTGAAACAAAATCAACTTTAACAACTTAATTAGCTAGCAAAACACAATCACAAAGTTGTTGTTTCAATAAATAATTGACATTCAAACAATGCGTTTGTGTTAACACCAAGATGCCCTTCCTTTATTGTTTATAAAACTCGTTTCTTACTAAAGATGTCAACCATAAACACAGGAAGGCCACGAGTGTTTGCTTCTGTTGAGCTAACTATGTTAGCTACAGATGCTAACAGATTAGCCAACATGCTAACAGCTTTTTATTAAACATCACTAACAGCGAATACGTGATGCCATTGCCTTTATTAAGAGGGTGTTGTAAGATAACCTAAGAAATMAGATGGCTACAGAATATCTAAACTAATTATGTAAGGCGATAACACAGCTGTGGGTCAAAACCTTCATGTTTTTCYGCAGCTTACCTTCTCCGCTGCGGACTCCGTGGGGGTGACAGAGCCAATAGCGTGCAAAAACAGTCCCATTTTCAGCCCCAGACATACGCCTCTCATTCCTCCGACAACTGACCGCGGAAAAACATGTACGCTCCTTCGGTCACACGCCGCAGTCTCCCAACTACTTATCGGCTCGGTTCCGGCTGGCAGGCCGCTGCTTTATGCGCCGCCTCCTTCGGGTCCGGGACACATCTGACTGGTTCGGTTCGGTGCCGCTGCCTCCGAGGCCGCCGTTACACAAGTCGTTCCCCACGAGCCAGCCCAGGCGCTCCGCTCCGGTCAGCTGGGCCTGGGTGTGGCGTGGTCACCGAAACCAAACCCCATGTGCGCAACGTGATGGGCGTTCAGTTCCGCCGGCCACAGCTGCTAATTTGCGGACCGAGCTGTGATTGGACAGCTCCGTCCAGCTTGAAAGGAATTGACCAATCACCGATCGGTGCGTCTGGTCGACGTTCTCTGCTTACCGGGCGCTGCCATTGAAGAGCCACAGATATTATAAAACAAGCTTAAATTAATATCTAACATAGGCAAACTTGCCAAAYGCAATAATCCTTTTTTGTTCCAATAACAAATAAATACAAAGTTAAGATAATGAAATTAAGATTTTTGTTATTTTGCACATTTTATTGCCAACAGATCCAGTAAAAC